AATTTATTATTCGAGTTATTTGAAACTAAAAATGATACTTTATATATATATATATATATATATATATATATATATATATATATATATAGTGTCATTTTTAGTTTTAAATAACTCTCGAATAATCAATTTTTTTTCTAATTATACAACTAATTATATAATATTTTAATCCATAGATAGTGCAAGTTTCAATGTTTTCTTAAAAATTTATTATTTTGCCTTACAACTTCCTTAATTAACAAATTGATTCGCATGTTTTTATACGTCGTTACAAAAAAACGTACGATCGAATGACCAATTCTCTCTTTCTTTCTCTCTCTCTCTCTCTCTCTCTCAATATTGGTTCCAGGTAATCCTACGATTTTTCCCCAACACCATTCTAATAAATGAATGAATGACCAATTCGATATTACTAATCGTCGTCATGTTTTTTGGAACATTTGTGCGTTCGCAACGATTACGATAACGATGTTGCCGTGATACATTTTCCAATATCTCGATAACACTTTACTACGCCTTTGTGCTAATCAGTTGCGCGCATGTAACGTTATCGATTTAAATCGACCACAGGCATGTAAGAGTACGGATATAGCGCTACTGTGACCGCTATTGTACCATACCATGTTTTAGGTAAGAGTGAACGCGTTAAACTATTGAGCGACGCGCGAGCATGAAATCTCGATAGAAAACTAAGCTTAAATCCGAAGACTGGCCACCGACGAAATTGCTAAAGTTAGCCAAGTCGACTATCGAAAATAGAGACATAGAGGTGGAGGTCATTACGATACGTCGTTGCAACCGCTATCGTGCAGCTACGGCTGTTTAATATTTTACGTATTGATATATTGGTCACGTTATTAATTAGCTAATTAGTAAAATTGTAAATTAAGAGAAATAAGTAAGCACATCAGCAGTCTATGAACGGTAATTCTAATGCGCATTTTCTTCAAAGTACTCGATCAACGTAATGTTCGTTACTTTGACTAATCGTTGATACTACTTTGGCTCTTTCAGTCTGAATTGATCCTAATGCCAAATACAGAAGAATTATATACGTACAAACTTTGTTAGAGAAGAGATCGGTCAAACGTGAGCTAACAAGCGCACATACTTTTACCTAGGAATAGTGCGAAGCTACGAGTGACTCATGTTACTTTTGGATTTGATTTTGGTCTGCCTACACTACCTACGCGAATGCTCTCAGGTAAAGCTTTATTGCGCGCGAAGCGCGACGTGGGTGCTTTCCGACGGAACGCGTATCCGCTCCGACTCGACTTCCAACTACGTCAGAATATGAAATGCACATTATTTCGAAACTATATACTTTTATTTAACCACTATTATCTACTTTCCTGTTATTACTCTTATTGTTAATTATGTAAATCGAAATTATACAAATTCCGAGAAATTCTGATATTTACGAAAAAAACAAAAGGGTGCTCAACTAAGGATCGATTGTTCCAGCCTCTTAATAAGCTACCTGACAATTAAATCATATGTCTGTCTTCGATTTTTTTTTCAAATTAGACAAAGACAGACAGATGGTTTAACTGTTAGATGGCTTACCAAGAGATAGGAACAAACGGCCCTAAGATGCATCTCTCTTGGCAAGCTATCTTATTAATCAGCTATCAATCAACTATATATAAAAAATATGCGTTTTTTCAAAAGAATATTTTTCCAGCTGAAAGGGAATATAATGCGTGTGTGTGTGTGGGCAGAACAAATGAGAGGGAAGCGATTCTAGTGGGCGTCCTTATGACGTCATTTTTACATGTTTGGCCAGAGAACGACATATCGAAAGAAAAGGATGTCTATCACGAAAACGCATGTTTTCGCTTGCCTTCTCGCATATCTCCTTAGCTTTTCAAATATAATGTATGCTGAATTATTCATATATTACACAGCGAGACGAACACGCGAATGCATATTGCGATCATTTCTAAATAATTTATAAATGTAATATTCTCTTTTTTTAGATATTAATGTTTGATTTTTGCATTCAAAATATTACATTCTCAGATATATATTTACATATGTATAGAATTACTTCAATATTGATTTAAATAGCATTCGACAAACGTTATTAGTTCATAATACAACTATAACAAAACTATTTATCAGTTTTATTTAACTTCTAATATCCTAATATGTAAAACTTAACAGATTTTTAAGAAGATTACTTGCCTTTATTCAGAAAAACATGTGTACTTAATATATGTGTACTTTAAATTTATGTATAAATTAAATATATAATTATATCATCTGTGCTATTGCTTAATTTTATATCAAACAAAAAGAAAACATATATCTACTATATATAAGTATCTACTAAGAGAAAAGAAAGATTTATGTATACATTTTTTAATTTAGAGACTAATTATACATGCATATATATATATATATATATATATATATATATATATGCACATGCATGTGTATTAATATAAACCTGCTAAATCATTGTAGTATTCCAAATTTTGTTATTGTATGTATTATTGTTAATAAAACCATTGGCTATTTTAGTCATTTGTAACAATATTATATATTATAATATATATTATATATTACAATATTATATATTATAATATATATTTTATGGATAATGAGTAATATAAGCGATCTATCAAGCAAACATTGTACCACTAATTACAAAATATAAAATAAAATATAAAATAATATATAACTTGATATTATTATTGCGTTATTATGTTGTATTCCATGTTACGATGAGCAAAGTTGTATACCATTCGAGATTAGGACAAAATTTACATCCATAATAGCAACAAATGCAGTTTTCACAATATTATTTACAGATCCACATCAAAGACGAAATCATTTTGCTATTTACTTTTGCTATTATTGAATAACAATTACACATTTCATGTAATTTTATAAAATATCATTATTAGACCTGTTCTTTTAAGCTAAATTAATGCTATTCTGGAACTTTGTTCCTTTCTCTTTCAATGCTGGGTTATATACTTATTTTATATTAAAGACAAGTATAACTTAGTGAAGCTAAAAACAACAGATTTAATGTTGTAACACATTCTTTTGGTTATCTGATTATTCAATTCAGGGGGATATCATGATCTATCATAAACTAGCAAGGTAGTAGATTTTAATTTGGACATTTCATCACGTACCTTTGTTGCCAATGTTTATGACTAGACGATTTTATGCAACTTATAAACACACTCAACTAACTTAATGTCACGTATTTGTGCTTCTCGCACGTTTCAATTCGTTTCAATTACGTTAATATCTGACGACACTTTGCGAAATAATGAAGCAAACTTGGATGTCTCGTGTGCAACCGTTAGCGCACTAGTATGGAATGCAAGTGCCTTCGATATAATATGTTCATGCGAATTAATACATTTTTTCGAAAATTTGTACAGCGTTGGTCAAAATACGTAAAAGAAATGCAAAAATTTCATAATTATAAAATGTACCAAAAAAAGGCATACAAACATAACAATATAACGAAAAGTATCACGATCGTTATCGTTGAGACTCACCAAAAGTGGTTCCTGTTCTTTGCACATCAATCACCAATCGTATTCGTTAATCGATTTCAATCGAGGATCAAGAGTAAACCGTTGTTTTCCGATCGGGAAACAGACGACGTTTGCACACAAAAATGAACGCGGTTAAACCTTGAAGTTTCCACAAAGCTAGATATTCAACATGAGAGATATTTCGACTTCTTTAGATATACAATTTGCCACTACAAGGCTTGTCAAATGTAATCAAATAAAAATAGTGAAATGGATTCTAGCAGGAACCAGTAGATTAGATTAGGTTAGATTTCTTTTTTACTCCTCCCATGTAAAATAGAATAAAGATCTCAAGCTTCGTTTCATTCTCGGTTTATTTAGGGACAGACATATTGCAGAGTGCGCTATCTAATAACGTATGACGTCATCATGAACGGACGAATAATTGGACGAGCCGTTATAGGGAATTCACATTAAGTATGTTCTATTTAATTGTATTTATAGTTTTTCATGAAATATTGTATGCAATATATTTTCCAGAATCAGAATCCAGAGGCTCGATCCTTGACGGTATACGAATGAGATACGCATGCGAAAATCTATAGTTCACGTTACGTATACTGTAGATTTTCGTATGCGAATCTTATTCGCACACCGTCAAAAATTAGGTCTTAAGGCCAAATCACACTAACGATTGGCGATAGATGATTGACGATTGAAGATTGGAACTTGACCAATTGGAACAAAACAAGCAAAGTCTGAAGCTTGCTGATTCGTTAAAATCTAATCTTTAATTGTCAATCGTCAATCGCCAATCGCTAGTGGGTGCTTTCCAATTGCAATATCCCTAAACACTTTCATGCATACGGCGACACAAGTTGCATTCCAATCGTCGACACAACACTACACATCGTACTCAGCTCGAGGGCTACTAGTCGGCTGTGTAAACTAGTGTTTTCTAGTGAAAATTAAAGTTGATAAACGTAGCGGCTTGAAAAGAGACTGCATTTGCGACGTGAAGTGGATATCTTTTTTATTATTTAGATTTTATTATTTATTATTAAAAAATAACAAAATATAAGCATAGTTAAAAAATAATCCTAACCCTACCTGACATACATACACATTAGTACACACTTTGTTCCAATTGAATCGTGCACAACGTTACACTTTGTGCATTTCTGTGTATATATGTGTCAAGATGTGTTAAACAATTGGAAAACATTCAGTGTGGTTTAGCCTTTAGGGGTTCGATTCTGGGGTTCTGATATGCGAGTGAGATACGCAAAATCTATGGTATATGTAACGTGAATTATAGATTTTCGCATGCACATCTTATTTACACGCTGTCAGGAATCGAGCCCCAGGGCCTTGGGCCCAGGGGGAGGAGCGTCACGATTGACCTCAGTACGATTAGACACAACCAATTGATACAGAGAATTATCTAGTGAATTACTAGGTCAAACCAATCATTACAATCTGTGTCCAATCGTACCGTGGTCAATCGTATTGTGATCAATCAGGTTTTTACCCGGGACCACCAGGGGCCGTATTCTTGAAAAATATCAGGTTTGTTTGCGTCGATGCCTCAACGATGCTCCTACTCGCTCCAACGCACTCTGATTAGTTTACGTCACAACACGGACCAATCAGAGTGCGTTGGAACGAGTAAGAGCACATTGGGGCATGCGACGCGAACAAACCTATCATATGTGATATTTTTCGAGAATTAGTCCCAATCTACAATAAGCTTTAAACCTTATTTTAAGCCTAGAAATTGACCAATCACGGTGGAATTATAGAGAAATTGTTGAGCAGTAACGGAAAAGAAACTAGGTGAAAGACAACCAATGAGAATGATTCCGCTATCGCTTCGTTCCGTTGCTTTGTCACCGGGTTCCCCATGGCAATGATTTTACGGAATGGAACGCGAACTTATTACACATAACCTCCCAGACATAAGATCTCCTGACGATATCCTAAGGATGTTCTAAGGATGAAGAAATGTTCTTAGGACTTGTTCAGGATGTATTCTGGATGAACCCTGGACATCTGTGCTATTAACCAATCATAATTATTTATTTTTCTATCATTTCACTGTGATTGGTCAATTTCTTAAGGCTTAAAGCTTACTACACTTATTGTAGATCCGGACTTAAGGAAGGTCTGGGGGTCGATCATGAATCTTTCACGTGAATCTTGTATGTACTTTACACTTTTAACATTTTTACAATTTCACTTAAAAAGGTTCACGTGAAATATGACATAACCTTACCATATAGTAACATATCTGTGAGGGCAAAACATAAAATATGATGTAAAAAATATTAAAAAAGTAATATAAAATTATAATTTATAACTATAATATAATTACTAAAATATAATGTATATAAATATAACGGTTAATAAAAATATTATCCCTTTTGCGTCAACCGTAGGAAACTAAACAATTTCATGTGAATTTTCAGTTTATGAGAATATTAGTGTTTTCCCTGCAAAGAAAGACATTTTCATGTGAACTTTTAAACCATCAACAGACTTGGCTAAAATGTAAAAGATGACATATAGCATAGATAACATTTTATATAATAACATTCTGTCCCGATTGGTTATATTACCAAACCAAATAACTAATAGTTGTCAGTTGCCTACAATACCGTCCATATTCACTGTATTTCTACATCATGGACTATATAGGGTGCGTTCGCTTTGAACGCTTACGCGCTTTAAGCGCTTAAAAATATCGCTCACGTCGTTTACTTTGGCGCTATAAGCGCTTAGAAACTGCATATTGACGTCATGCGTGACGTCATAACTCGCGCTTACATTCACTTCTTCTATCGAGGTAGGGTAGTAAAAGCGTGAGCACTTATAAGCGCTTATTTTCCAAAGAGAACGATAAGTTAGATTGCGTCGATGAAATCGACGCAATCTAACCTCCAATATAAACCTTAAAGTGAAATAGTGTTTCAAAATGACTTCCAACGAGAGTAACAAAACCAGAGTAACTCTGCAAGATGTTACAAATAATAAAATGTATACACTTGTTGTTACATCAAATGAGGCAAAACGTGTAGAAACAGGTAAGTTTAGGACACCTCTCATAAAAATTTATTATTTTTGTTATTAAATCATATTTATTTTGAGTAATAAAGCACTGTCCAACAGTAATTAAAAAAAAAAAAGTAATATTTCAGCAACACTAGTAATACATTTGATGAAGGAAACGGACTTTCTCACAAATTTACCTAAATCTTCATATTTTGTTGTATAAAACATGAATATGAAAGTTAAAATCGTTGATCTTAAATAAAACAAAAGTTATTAAAATGTGACTTAAATACTTCATCATTGTATAATGGTACAATCACTTCCACATAGTTTTTTAACCGAGTGTTTTAATTATTTTTTTATTAATTCAATCATTACGGATAAATACTTTTCTAATTCTTTTTTATATAAGTTATTTGTTTCGTTATCATCAAAAACATCTAATGAAACTAATATTTGAGCAAATACACAAACAATTTCCTTATCTTTATCCTTCATTTTTACGTTCATAATTGCTTACAACAGCCAAAGGAAACGGTTTTGATCTTTTCGATAAGTGCGCTTAGAAATCAAAGTAACCGGGCAAAAATAGCGCTCATAAGCATGAGCGCTTTAAGTATGTGAGCGTTCAAAACGAATGCACCCATAAAGGTAAATTTTATATTGGGAGTGTGAATAAGTTCTCGCCGTTTCACCATCAGATGGCGGTATAAAAATTTTGTATGTATAATTCAAGATAATGACGCATCTATATTGAAGTTCTATAACCTATGTTTAAAATCAATGCGTGTCTTTCCATTAACCTATAAAGAACATTTTCTTTTCGTAGCGTAAAACATGTCAAATTTCGTGCCAAATAAACCGTTTTTGCGGGGAATTTTACTGCACTACTTTATTCAGAAGAAATCTGCAGCTGAAGCACACAGAATTCTTGTAGAAACCTATGGTGATCATGCTCTGTCGGAAAGAACATGCAGAGATTGGTTTAACCGATTTAAAAATGGTGATTTTGATGTTCAAGATAGAGAACGCAGTGGTGCACCAAAAAAAGTTTCAAGACGAAGAATTGGAAACATTACTTGCTGAAGATTTGTCAGACGCAATCCGATGTTGCAAAATCATTAGGAGTTGATCGAACAACAGTTTTGAAACGTCTGACAGCATTAGGAATGATACAAAAGGAAGGACCTTGGGTGCCATACGAACTGAAGCCGAGAGACGTCGAACGGCGTCTTGTCACGTGTGAACAGCTGCTTCAACGACAAAAAAGGAAAGGTTTCTTACATCGTATTGTGACTGGTGATGAAAAGTGGATATACTACAGTAATCCCAAGCGTAAAATTCGTAGGTTAAGCCCGAAAAAGCAGTAGCATCAACGCCAAAGCGGAATATCCATGATTCCAAGCTCATGCTCTGCATTTGGTGGGATCAGCTGGGGGTAGTGTATTACGAGCTGCTCCAACCCAACCAAACCATCACAGGAGATCTCTATCGACGACAATTGATGCGTTTGAGCCAAGCATTGAAAGAAAAACGGCTGCAATATAAGCAAAGACACGATAAGGTGATTTTGCTGCATGATAACGCTCGGCCGCATGTCGCGTCACCGGTCAAAACATACCTGGAAACGCTGAAATGGGAAGTCCTACCCCACCCGCCGTACTCTCCAGACATTGCGCCTTTTAATTACTATTTATTTCGATCGATGACTAATGGCTTGGCTGAGCAGCACTTCACTTCGTATGAAGAAACAAAAAACGGATCGATTCGTGGATAGCCACAAAAGAAGTGTCGTTTTTTCAACATGGAATTCAAATGCTGCCAGAAAGATGGGAAAAAGTAGCCTCCAGCGATGGGCAATACTTTAATTGACTTGTTTTTTTATTTTTTTTTTAAATAAAGGATTTATTTTCACAAAAAATGGCGAGAACTTATTCACACTCCCAATATATATTAATATTATATAAAAAATAATATAGAGAAGAATATATAACTTATTTATAGAACATAATAAGTTTTGTTTTTATATCAATATTGTGGAATTGTGTGAAATTGTGCTTTTATAACTTATTGTAATACAGTACCCACATAGCAATGTCCTAAATATATCATAAGGATCTTTTGAAGATATCGCATATCTCAAATATATATTTAGGATATCCCTGATATATTTTGGACACCTCTGCTGTGTGGGTATCTATATCTCAGACAGCACGCAATATTTACAAAATATTTTAGAAATACAGACAGTAAATATTTTATAAATATTTTAATGTCCGAGATTTTCAGGTATGAAAAAGATTATGATAAATATTTTTAAATATTTGTGAAAA